CTACAAGAAGTCCTCATAGGTATGAATTTTGGGGAAAAAATTCAAAAAAAAACCCTGCAAGCATTATATCGAGAACCTACAACAAAAATTAAAATAATATCTCAAATTATACAATTACAAAGAGGGACGAGGCAGGGTTGTCCCCTTTCCCCATTATTATTTATTTTAGCTATAGAACCATTAGTAGAATATATTAGATTAAATAATAATATTCACGGTGTGCAAATTGGTAACATAATTCATAAAACTAGTTTATATGCCGATGACATTATGTTATATATTACTAAACCTAATGAGTCTTTAAGTGAATTTTTTTTACTAAACATGCTTCCGGATAGTATTAAAAACCATAAACCTACAATAACATACATTTTAACTGCAGCAAGGATTTTGATAGCAAGGCGGTGGAAATCAAAAGACATACCATCTATAAAAGAACTAAAACATAAGATATTGGATATTGTGGAAATGGACAAACTGAGTCTGGAACTGAATAATAAACCAGAGAATGTATTCTGGAAAAGATGGAAGGTTATGTACGACTGGCTAAAACAAAAAAGGAAAATTTAATAAGCTAGCAAATTTATTATGAAAATAGAAAGACTTTTTTCTTCTTTGTGGATGTATAAATGAATTCTTCCTTATTATATCCTATGTACACAGTGTAAAGGTGAAAATATGGAAAATAAATTAAAAAAACCTTAATTAAAAGCTTTATTTTACCAAAATATAATTTTCTTTTTAGAGCTTTACCAATCCCATTAGGAAAAAAAACCACTACAAAAGTGGCAATCCAAATTAAATAAATTTTTATGGGCAGGAAAACCCCCCAGAATTAGAGCCTTAACAATATATAGGACAGTGGACCGTGGCGGTCTGGGCATACCTAACTTACAATGGGTTTATGAATCTACAAATATCAGCATACTTATAATGAGCGCAAAATTAAAAAGAGCTCCAATATGGTCTCATATAGAATTGGAACCATTACAACCTTGTACTTTATATGAAACATTATGGGATAAAAAAATTCTACAAAAATGCAACCAGTCAATCAATCCTTTTCTGGTTAATTCTTTAATAATTTGGTATAAATGGAAACCTATCTTAGCTCCAGATATATCTAGCCAATCATCATATATTAGACAAGAATGGTTTATCCCTGGTAAAGATTGGGATTACTATGATAAGTGGCAGAAAGCTGGCATAACTAAAATCTCACAAACAAGATATTTTAATGAAAGCACAATTAGAAGAAAAAATTAAACACCAGGTACACTGATAAAAAATACTTACAAATTAGACATCTCCTTGAATCTCCTCCTCTGAGACTGATGAGGTGCCGCCCTCTGACACCTTTGGAACAATATTTAGAGAAAGAGGTTAATTTATCCAACAATTTATCATCTTTAGTATATAAACAGTTAAGCCATAGCAAAGAAGAAAAACACACTCTGTATCAAAAACAATGGAAAGATGACCTAAAAATAGAGATTACTGAGGAAGATTGGCAAGTAATTTGGGATGGTTATAGCAGAAACTCAAAAATAATCTCTTTAAACACTTCAATGTCTAAAATTATTATGAGATGGTATATCCCACCTACCAGACTGTTTCGTATTAACAAGTCATATAGCCCGCTATGCAAAAAACAATGTGGCAATAAGGCCGATTTTATACACTGTTGGTGGTCATGCTCTATAATACAACACTTTTGGCAGATTATATTAGAGAAAATTTAAAAAATAACCGATGTTGACTTACCTTGTTCCCCTAAAGTGATTTTGCTGGAACGTTGGCCTCAGCCTAGAAAAAACAAAAGAAAAGAAGAGTTAATATCATACTTATTAGCAGCCACACGTCAGCTTGTGGCAACAAAGTGGTTAGAAAAGAACCCGCCTAACCTATCTCAATGGTATAATTGAATATGGGAAATTTTCATTATGTATAAACTGTCAATAAAAATGTCTAATGCATCTCCTGATAAATATCATTAAAAAGTTGTAGCTGTTTGGTATCCTGCTGTAACTTATATGGTGACCAATGATATTATTCCGGATAATCCACAGTATTAAAAATGGTGTATTTTTGATTTATATAGTTAATAACAAACAATAGAATTTGCTGTATTTGGTTTGTTTAATGTTGACATTCTGTAATTTCTGAAAAAATTGTTAATAATAATTTAAAAACCCCACAGATATTTTTTAATCCGCTAATTTAGGAGGGTGAAAGTCTGAATTACTTAGGCAGCTGACCATGTTGTTAATATAAAAGATAAATAATAATGGGGCCAGGACGCATCCTTGTTTTTACTCGTTTCCTATTGCATCTAACCTTTTACTCTACTGCCCTTTCTATCAAGAAATTTGTTCTAAGTTCATTCTTCCTTTACTTAGAAGCAGGCCCGTAGCTAACAACCTTTTGCTCAGGGGGCCCATGTTTTTCTCAGGGGACCACCAATGTTCCCTCTAAGCTGTGGAGTTTTGTGAGCAAAACTTCTACTTTGTGAGCTACTGCCATTAAAGTTGTGAGAGAGCAATAAATTAGAGAGAGAGCTGCCACATAAATTAGTTTGCCGAGTATTGGGAAGGGGGCCCATTAAAATCACCAGGGGGCCGGGCCCCATGGGCCCCTGGTTAGCTATGGGCCTGCTTAGAAGGTAAATTGTTCATCTGGATTTGCAGTCTGTTATGTTACTTATAGGCGAAAATCCACAGGTTAGTGCGAAATTCCTCGCAGCTGCTTGTAAAATTCACCAGAAAGTTTTATGTGTTTTAGATGAATGTTAACAATGTTAACAATTTTTAATAACTTAGTAACTTTGTATTATCTGATCGTATTATTTGATTAGCTAATTCCATTTTATTGTTCTTATGATCACATGATTCAGGTGTTTGTGATTTGTGCTGGTCTAAGACTATTTTAATAAACTTAACGATAATAACCATAGCTCAAAATAACTAGAAGGACAAATTCTGTCTAATGCCTGAGAGCATCTGTGCATCTCTAGTCATAATAGGGGATCTACATGGTTGTCCTGATCCTTCTATTTCTTTTGTATTCTAGAGTAGCATGTCCAAGGAGAATACTGTCTGAGTGGAGCACTCTTCTGGGAGACGGAACATCATCATCTGGAAGAGGTCAAGCAGTTTGAGGTGGATTCTTTTGTGATTGGTTTTTGGCTGGTGAGGGCCAAGTGAAGGGAACTATATAAACAGCCTAATAACTCTCTGGTTTGACCCAAGAAAACGAGTGCACTGGTGAGGAGAATGGAATCTAAAGGAAGCACCCGGAGTGGAAATAAGCCTGATGCCAAGATTGCCAGCTCAGGAAAACCTGAGAAACCTAGCCCTGGGCCCACCACCACGACAGATAAGAAAGAAACCCCTCCTAAGGAGCAGCCAGCCCCTGCTGCCACCACTCCAGCAAAAAAGGCGCCGGTGGCAGCAGCCAATGAGGCCGCAGCGGTGAACAACCACAGCAGCGTGAAACCCAGCTCTGCTGCAGCAGCGACAGAGGGTCCTGAAGATGCGAGTCACCCTGCTAACTCGGAGCACAAAGAGAACCACGCGGAGGAATCCCCAGGCAGCAGCCTCTTTGAGAACATGAAGCCACTGATCATCGTCGGAGGAGCAGCAGTGGCCGTCATAGCTGTCATCGTGGGAGTAGCTGTCCTAGCCCGAAAGAAATAAGCCCTACGAAGCACAGGGGAGACACTCTGGGCCATGTACAGTTCCTTTTGAAATAAAATGCATGCCGTAAACTCTATACATATCTATAAATATACAGTATATATATAGAGAGAGAACTAGCTAGGCGAAAGTGCAACACTGGCAATTGTCTCGTTCGAGAGCCATGCGCCATTGTTGACATAGTGTGAGCACTCAGTGCACTTGTGCCCTTTTGTGTAATATAATTCCGCTTGCACTACTGTGTATAGAGGGCTTCTTCCGGTCAGTATAACAGCTGCTGTTTTCTTTCCCACAGCCCCTCTTCTCACCTTTCCTCCAAATGTCTAAATTTAGGTCCAGTGACACATTCAGAGTCTTTTGCTTTGTGATGTTGGGTTGTGGTAGAGCAGATGAAAGGACATTTCCCACCAACAGGGCGACCAAAGCGCATCCTGCAGCTGTGCAAAAATGTTCAGATACATAAAAGCAGGGCTTTTTTTGTAGAAAAAGTCCAGCAGGAACTTATTAGCATACTAGGCCACACCCAGAAGCAGAAACTCATTAGCATATTAGGCCACACCCCTGACTGCACCGCTCATTAGCATATTGAGCCGCATTCCCATGTTACCAGAAGTGTGGTCATCCAACCACACCCACCTTTTGCTTCTTATTCCGTTTACCTTGTTTGTTGTCAACACCCAGGGCTTTTTTTGTAGCAGGGGCTCCTTTGCATGTTAGGCCACACACCCCTAATGTAGCCAATCCTAATGAGTTTCTGCTATTGGGTGTGGGCTATTATGCTAATGAGTTCCTGCTGGGTGTGGCCAACTTGGGAGCCAGCCGGAACTCCGTTCCTGTGCGTTCCTGCCCAAAAATAGCCCTGCATAAATGGAAATATCTTAATCTGAGGAGTGTACTCATCCAAAAATGTACTCCCTCACCTTTCATTCAGATTTAAAATGTAGATAGCCTAGGAGGCCATGGAAGTTTGAGAAGGAAGCTCAGCCTACTGAGATCTATAGTGTAACCTGAGGCCCATCAGACATCATCTTGGCCCTGTTATCCATAATTGCATTCCTAGTAGTACTAACAGTAGCCTAGCTACTCATCTTACTAGGTTTCGGGACGTAGGAGAATATTCCTTCCGTACATGCATGACAAGCACCAGTCTGAAGCAGTTGATTATGCTTTGGAAAGCTACCATTGTAGAGCATAGGTGCCATTAACCGAGAGTGCTCCCACCTCCCTTTCTCACAGTACAAAAACTCGTGGGCACTCAATGAAATTGCTGAGCAGTCGGGTTAGACTGGATAAAAAGAAGTCCTTCACCCAAAGAGTGATGAACCCATGGGATTCACTGCCACAGGATGTGGTGGCGGCTACAGGCATGGACGGCTTCAAGAGGGAATTAGATAAGCATATGGAGCAGAAGTCTATCAGTGGCTATTAGCCACAAGGTATAGACAGAAACTCTCAGGCTGGGGCAAGTGATGCTCTGTATTCTTGGTGCTTGGGGAGGGGGCAACAGTGGGAGGGCTTCTAGTGTCCTGGCCCCACTGCTGGACCTCCTGATGGCACCTGGTATTTTTAGCCACTGTGTGACAGAGTGTTGGTCTGGATGGGCCATTGGCCCGATCCAACATTGGCTTCTCTTATGTTCTTATGTTCTCCATATATTAAGTTGGTGTGGCTCAAAATTTATGAATGAGACTTTTTCTGTGGACATGGATATTGGATTATTACTAGTGCTGCTCCATAGAGAGCTAATCTATCATTGTGGGCTGTACGAGAGGAAGAAGAGGAAAAAAGAAGCAGTTCTAAGAATATGTAACATCAGGGTTTGTTTTGTTTCTTTTCTCCTTTGGCATGATAATGCTCCTCCTTTCCTCCTCCTTTCAGCTTGTGGCCTACCAACATCTGGATTTCGGGCTTGGATTTATGTATAGAGCATCCTGTCCCAGTGTAAAGACTGGACTGGATCGATGAACGTCAGTTTTCTGACACTTTGCAAACTCCCATACTGGAGGTATCAGAAGAATGGCCTAATTCCTTTTCTTTTACAGGAAATCATGGGAATGGACTCATTAGTACTAACCTTTTTCTTATCATTTGAACTGACCATGATGAGAGGAAATTTCCTGTATCTTTGCTTTCATTACTGTTTTCCTGAAATGCTGAAAGCAGACCTTGAGATGGAAAAGAAGCAGAGGGTGGGGCAGTGAAGTAGTTTGGTTTTGTCTACCAAAGATCAACCCATGACCACGCAGACACTGGAACGTAGAACAGATTATACCATGGCAATGATGGAATAACCATTCCAGACAAGTAGCTTCCAACAATATATTTTTGCTTGGACTGTCCAGTGGAAAAAGGGGTTATGAAAACCTGATGAGGTTTTTTTTTTTGAATTAGTTAAATAGATTGAAGTGGTCTTTGCAATGCTGTTTTTGCTGCTGTTAGGTCGGGAGATACACGAGCAACCAAGTTTCCCTACTAGCATGCAGTTGCTCAGAAATTAATGTGGGGACTAGATTTCTGCATTTTTAGCCAGTGTCTAATTCTAAACCCAGAACGCTGCTGAAATACGCTATGATGGTGACAGTGGCAGGACTACAGTTCATCATCTTGAAGAACAACTTTTTTTTCTCTTTCTCTTGTATTTATGGCTGTGATGTGATAGGTTAGGTCTATAAGGGAATCATTCACTGACAGTTGTTGCTTAGTACTGTGGTGTTCCACTGTCTTGAATCATTCTCCAGAACCCGCCCCCCTCCTGCCAGTCTGAAAACACCTGTATTTTTGTGTGTATATATACAAGCTTTCCTACCCCTTCTTTATTTGAGGATACCTGTGTATATATATATTACAGTTTACTAGAGTCTTTGTAAAGCTACAGATCTTGTATTCTTTGTACAAACAAAAAGGCAAAAGGCATCCATCATTTGCGTACCTGCATTCACACAAAGTGTCCATGTTTTTGTGCCACTTGCATTCCGTCATGGCAGTATCCAGCCCCGTGGTTTCTTTCCAATAAAAGAATGTGTGGTTGGCCAACTGAAGAATGTATCACAATCCCTCTCGTGCTAGTAGCCGAAACCCATTGCTTCTAAAGAGCCCCTTCAAAATAATACATCTCAGACAGTGCAAATCACCTGGCGAAAGTTGCTCTGCCCCACCGTCGCACCTGGCGGGGATGTGGCAAGGTGTGCAACCCAATGCCTCGTTAAATATTTATGTGCAGGGAGCAATGCTCCCTCTAAGCGGCGGAGTCTTGTGAGCAGAAATTCAACTTTGTGAGCTACCAAGCATTAAAGTGGTGAGCAAGCGATTTGGGTACTGCATAAATTAGTTTGTTCTGGAGCCATCCCTTCCTGAGCTAAGAGAAAAATGTATGAGCTGGAGGCTAAAAAACTGTGAGCTGGCTCACACTAACTCAGCTTAGAGGGAACACTGGTAGGGTGTCGATGTGTCGTTCTGGCCACTGGCCCCGCAACCTCAGCTGTGTCTGCATTGATGGTCCCGGGCACACAGATGCAGGACGGGGATGCTGTGATGCCAAATGAGTTTCATATGTAACCTTCATATAACTCTTCAGCCTGTGTCAACGGCAGTAATGAAGGCATTCCCCCCCCCCCCGCAATGCCAGTTGTGATTCTGAGTAGGAAAGCATGCATCTAGATCCACCCCCAACCAGTGTGCCCTCTAAGCTGTGGAGTCTTGTGAGCAAAAATTCTACCTTGTGAGCTGCTGGCATTAAAGTTGTGAGTGAGCGATTTGGCTGCTGCATAAAATAAGTTTGCTCCGGAGCCATCCTTCCTGAGCTAAGACAAAAATGTGTGAGCCGGAGGCTAAAAAACTATGAGCTAGCTCACACTAACTCAGCTTAGAGGGAACACTGCCCCCAACTCAATAAAACTTTGCTTGCAAGCGTGGAACTTCTTGCTGTGGATAATGCCGGTCATGTGTCTAGCGGCAAGGGGCACCAGACGAGCACTGACAGCGTGCAGATTTTTTTGCATCCATCAAAGGAGCCATGCCATTTGGAACATGCTAGTCTCAGATTTGGAACACCCAATTAACGATATGAAATCTGTCATTGGTGGTGCCTGAAAGCACTGAGGCGGTGTGTCCACAGCAACCCATGTTCTCTACATCCTAAAGCTAGTGGCAGCATAAATGATCAGCGATCTGGTAAATAGCCTTTTCTAGGTCAATGCTGTGGGCTCCTGGTCCAGTCAAACCCTGTCTGCACAGCGGTCCTGCTGCAAGGAGAAAGGGAATTGATGGCAGGAATGATCTGCGTGAGGGGTGGCAAACGGGAGGGCAGGTGAAGGATGCACAAAGTGACCGGATTGTACCCCCATGTTCCTGTGATCATCAAAGGAATCTACACATACAGGATTCCCCTTGCATGTGCCAGAGACCACCATCTCCCAAAAGTGAATAGCTAACTTAGTAGAATGAAGCTTGGGGGCGGGGGGGGGGAGTAAGCTGTAGTATAATATTTTATTACTGTCAATAGGGCATGCTAGTTTTATTTTAGCCGCCTGCTGTTCATCGCAGCCACGGAGGAAAGTGGCAGCCATTACCCAGATGTGCACAAAGAGATAACATGCACATTCCTTTTTCTGCTTGCTGCAGGGATATGCATGTATTATTTCTACACTGGGAGCTTTGGTTTCTGTCCATGGATGAAATGCACAAGTTTTCCCTTTGACTGTGAACTTGGAAGTACAAGTTACTAATGCCTGGTCTTTTGGCACTTCCCAAGCGATGTGCTATGCAGACCCCCATGTAGAAAGGACTATCTGATCCCACTAAAATCCAAGGGGACGGCAAACTTCAATAACTTCACCATACTAGATATTTAGTGCAATCCTATGCAGAGTTACTTCAGTCCAGGGCTCTTTTTGTAGAAAAAGCCCAGCAGGAACTCATTAGCATAATAGGCCACACCCAACAGCAAAACTCATTAGCATATTAGACCACACCCTGACAGCACCGCTCATTAGCACATTAGGCCACACCCCCATGTTACCAGAAGTGTGGTCATCCAGCCACACCCACCTTTCCCTTCTTATTCTGTTTACCTTGTTTGTTGTCAAAACCCAGGGCCTTTTTTGTAGCAGGAACTCCTTTGCATGTTAGGCCACACACCCCTAATGTAGCCAATCCTAATGAGTTTCTGCTGTTGGGTGTGGCCTATTATGCTAATGAGTTCCTGCTGGGCGTGGCCAACTCGGGAGCCAGCCGGAACTCCGTTCCTGTGCGTTCCTGCCCAAAAATAGCCCTGCTTCAGTCTAAGTCCACTGAAATCAATGTGCTTTGGCTGGAGTAACTCAGCACAGGATTGCACTGCTAGCTTGCGAAGTCTGCTATGTTTACTGTAATGGGATGCAAATACAGATCAAAACGCCAGTGCTCGGCAATTG